TCGGAGGAAAGACAGCTATTGACACTCCGCTTGGTAAAAACCTTATTGGTTCTATCTGGCAGCCATCAAGAATCTACATTGATCTTGAGTTCCTCGAGACTCTCCCCGTCCGAGAGTTCATCAATGGCATGGCCGAGGTCATCAAGACTGCTGCTATTTCAAGTGAAGAGGAGTTCACTGCCTTGGAAGATAACGCAGATTCAATTTTGGCTGCTGTGCGCAGCGAGCCAAAGGCTGGCCAAGGTCGCTTCGACGGCATCCGGGATATCCTGAAGGCTAGAATCTTGGCATCAGCACGTCACAAGGCCTTTGTTGTCTCCGCAGATGAGCGTGAAGGCGGCCTTCGCAACCTGCTCAACTGGGGTCATTCTATTGGGCATGCCATTGAGGCGATCCTTACGCCTCAGATCCTTCACGGCGAATGTGTCGCAATCGGCATGGTGAAGGAGGCAGAGCTTGCGAGACACTTAGGCATCCTGAAGGGAGTCGCCGTTGCTCGTGTGGTAAAGTGCCTCTCGGCCTACGGCTTGCCCACTTCCATGAAAGACCCACGGGTTCGTAAGTTGACTGCTGGTAAGCACTGCTCTGTAGACCAATTGCTGTTCAACATGGCTTTGGACAAGAAGAATGATGGCCCCAAAAAGAAGGTTGTACTCTTGTCAGCAATTGGCCGTACTCACGCGCCGAAGGCCAGTGTCGTCTCTAATGAGGATATTGGTGTCGTCCTTGCTCCCAGTATTGAGGTTCACCCCGGAGTGCCCAAGTCGCTCAATGTCACTTGTGCACCCCCCGGATCGAAGAGTATCTCAAATCGTGCCCTTGTTCTTGCTGCGCTTGGTTCTGGAACCTGCCGCATCAAGAATCTCTTGCACTCCGACGACACTGAGGTCATGTTGAATGCCCTAGAGCGACTCGGCGCGGCAACTTTCTCTTGGGAGGAGGAAGGTGAAGTCCTTGTTGTGAACGGCAAAGGCGGAAAGATCATCGCAAGTCCTACGCCTTTGTACTTGGGTAACGCCGGAACTGCCTCGCGATTCCTCACCACTGTGGCTACACTCGCTACCCCCAGCAGTGTCGACTCGAGTGTCTTGACCGGCAACAACCGCATGAAGCAAAGGCCTATTGGCGACCTTGTCGACGCTCTTACCGTCAACGGTGCCGGTGTCGAGTACATGGAAAGCAAGGGATGTCTTCCTCTCAAGATCGCCGCTTCTGGAGGCTTCGCAGGAGGAAAGATCAACCTGGCCGCTAAAGTTTCCTCTCAGTACGTCTCCTCGCTGCTTATGTGCGCTCCATACGCCAAGGAGCCGGTGACGTTGAAGCTGGTCGGTGGTAAGCCCATCTCACAGCCTTATATCGACATGACGACTGCGATGATGAGATCTTTCGGCATCGACGTGAAGAAGTCTACTACCGAGGATCACACCTACCACATCCCTCAGGCTCACTACGTGAACCCTGCTGAATATGTTGTGGAGAGCGACGCAAGCTCTGCGACCTATCCTTTGGCCATTGCTGCCCTCACTGGCACGACTTGTACTATCCCTAACATTGGTTCCAAGTCCCTTCAGGGCGATGCTCGTTTCGCAGTGGATGTTCTAAGGCCTATGGGCTGCTCCGTTTTACAGACCGATACTTCCACCACTGTTACTGGACCTACTGATGGCGTTTTGCAGCCGCTGCCTAATGTGGATATGGAGCCCATGACAGATGCCTTCCTTACTGCCTCCGTTCTCGCGGCCGTTGCCCGGGGCAAGGGCTCAAACCACACAACTCGTATCTACGGTATCGCAAATCAGCGTGTCAAGGAATGCAACCGTATCAAGGCTATGAAAGATGAATTGGCCAAATTCGGCGTAGTGTGCCGTGAGCATGACGACGGGCTTGAGATCGACGGTATTGATCGTTCCACCCTTCGCCAGCCAACCGGTGGTATTTTCTGTTACGATGACCACCGCGTCGCGTTCAGTTTCAGCGTGTTGTCTCTTGTCGCTCCCCAGTCCACCCTTATTCTAGAGAAAGAATGCGTCGGCAAGACCTGGCCTGGCTGGTGGGACACCTTGAAGCAAATGTTCAGCGTGAACCTGACTGGAAAAGAACTGGAGGAATCCGAGCATGCTGTCTCGAGCGAAGTGGAGCGGAGCAGCGCCTCTATCTTCATCATTGGGATGCGTGGCGCTGGAAAGACCACCACTGGCAACTGGGTTTCTAAGGCTCTTGGTCGTCGGTTCATCGATCTTGATACTGAGCTTGAGACTTCCGAGGGTATGACTATCCCCGATATTATCAAGACACGCGGCTGGGAGGGATTCAGAGATGCGGAACTCGCTGTCCTTCGGCGCGTCCTTAAGGATCATCCTACTGGCTATGCCTTCGCTTGCGGCGGAGGTGTTGTTGAACTGCCAGAGGCACGAAAGCTACTTACCGACTACCACAAGAGCAAGGGCAACGTGCTCCTCATCATGCGCAACATCAAGCTGGTGATGGACTTCCTCCAAGTTGATAAGACCCGCCCTGCCTACGTGGAGGATATGATGGGCGTGTGGCTACGACGTAAGCCTTGGTTCGAAAAGTGCAGCAACATCCAGTACTATAGTCAGCACTCGACCTCAACGGAGCTAGCCCTTGCCTCGGAGGACTTTACCCGCTTCATGCGGGTAGTCACTGGCCAAATAGACAGCCTTAGTCTCATCAAGAAGAAGAAGCACAGTTTCTTTGTCTCATTGACTCTGCCTGATCTCCAACCGTCGGGCGATATTATCACTGAGGCTTGTGTCGGGTCTGATGCTGTCGAACTGCGGGTCGATCTGTTGAAGGACCCTTCAGTTGACGGCGATATTCCCTCGGTTGACTACGTCATGGAACAAATGTCTTTCCTTCGCCGTCGTACCACCTTGCCGCTCATCTTCACCATCCGCACCAAGAGCCAAGGTGGCCGCTTCCCCGATGATGCTCATGATGCGGCAATGGAGCTGTACCGACTAGCGTTCCGTTCTGGGTGCGAATTCGTGGATCTTGAGATCGCGTTCCCCGATGCAATGCTCCGTGCCGTTACTGAGATGAAGGGTTACTCTAAGATCATCGCCTCGCACCATGATCCCAAGGGCACTCTATCGTGGGCCAACATGTCCTGGATGCAATCCTACAACCGTGCTCTTGAGTACGGCGATATCATCAAGCTCGTCGGTGTTGCCAATACCCTTGATGATAACACTGCCCTTCGGAAGTTCAAGACATGGGCTGAAGAAGCCCACGATGTGCCGCTAATTGCGATCAACATGGGCGACAGTGGCCAGCTCAGCCGTATCCTGAACGGCTTCATGACCCCTGTGTCTCACCCCAGCCTTCCTTTCAAGGCGGCACCTGGTCAGCTGTCCGCTGCAGAGATTCGTCGTGGTCTCTCCCTGATGGGTGAGATCAAGGCCAAGAAGTTCGCTATCTGCGGTTTCCCTGTCTCCGGCTCGCGGTCTCCCGCTCTTCACAATACCCTCTTCGCCAAAATGGGTCTACCCCACGAGTACTCTCGTCTAGAGACTGCCAACGTCGAAGACCTCAAGGAGTTCATCCGCGCCCCTGACTTCGGTGGCGCCTCGGTGACAATCCCCCTTAAATTGGATATCATGCCCCTGCTCGACGAAGTCGCTCAGGAAGCTGAAATCATCGGCGCCGTCAACACCATTGTGCCCGTCCCCAACGGCGACAAGCCCCCTCGTCTGATTGGTTACAACACCGACTGGCAGGGTATGATCCGATGCATGCGGAATACAGGCATTTACGGTTCCAGCGGCAACGAGAGTGCTGTTGTCATCGGCGGCGGTGGTACTGCCCGCGCTGCCATCTTCGCCCTCCACAACATGCACTTCTCCCCAATCTACGTGGTGGGCCGTGACGCCAGCAAGCTCGAGGGTATGGTCTCGACCTTCCCGACCAACTACAACATCCGCGTTGTAGACAACCAGGCCCAGCTTGACACCGTTCCCCGGGTCGCTATTGGCACGATCCCCGCTGACCGTCCCATCGACCCTGCCATGCGCGAGACGCTCTGCCACATGTTCGAGCGCGCTCAGGAGGTCGATGGCACTCTCATCGGCAAGTCTCCCGACGCTGGCAAGCACCGTGTTCTTCTTGAGATGGCCTACAAGCCTACCGTCACCGCCTTGATGCAGCTGGCATCTGATGCGGGTTGGAGTACCATCCCTGGACTGGAGGCTCTTGTTGGACAGGGTGTGCACCAGTTTGTTCACTGGACCGGTATCACTCCTTTGTACCATGAGGCAAGAGTAAGCAAACACCTTGATATACCCATACTCCCTAGCTCCGTTACTAATATTCACTGTCTTTGTTTAGGATGCCGTCATGGGTACTGCTGAATGATCATGAACGCTTCATGAATGTCTCGGGATTTTCTCTCCATCTTCCATATTTGACGCCATACCATGTTCCAATGTACTAGCGGTGGGTGTCAGGTTACTAAAAGCATTCAACAAAACTTGTCCTGGCTTACATCTTGTTTTTCGTGTTCATACAATAGCTCTCATTTACATATTCCATTTTATTGTATCATATTCCATATTACGCTTTGTGTAGAGAAGGCAAGATGGAAAGACACCATGGAGAAAGGAAGGAAGATCAACTAGGTGAGTAGTGAAAGAACATCTGTAGATATATTGTTGTCATTCATGGCATCTTAGAGACAGGATCAGTCCTTGTTTTGATCTCAACTGCGTGGTAGGTTGGCTATTCACCATCCCAAGTGCACTACATAGGCGCTTGCTCTCTGTCTTGATATGCACACGTCCATACCTTCCTCGACACTTGTCTTCTCTTCTAAGGTCATCTCTCCCTTCTCAACCTTCTTATTTACTTTCGTATCTTATTCCCTTCTTCCATCAACCATCTATCTTCTCCCCTGGTTTCCACCCCTCGTCTTACCAAACTGTAAGCTCACCCGCCTCTCCACCTTTCGAGAAACTTCTCTAATGCAACACTTCTGATGCACAATGAGTGACAGCGAAGCTCAAGCCACAGGTGCACCTGGCACAAAAACTAACCCAGGCGAACGAAACAAGCGCGACTGGGATGAAGCTTGTTTGGAGAACCCTGCCGATGAGGATCAATCAACCTATCTGCCCGAGCTAGGCACTTTCAGCATATTCTGTCCCCTCGCACCTCATAAAGACAGAGGCGGTTTTGACGAATGGTTTACTGCTGCCGAGCAATGTCTCCGTCCTACCAACCTCCACCACCTCCTCGATGCAGCCATCCAACGACCCTCCTGGAATTCCCCCAACGCAGAAAAATGGATGCACCTATCCCAGCAAGTCCGCGCCTGGCTAGCAAGCAGGATGGATGCAAATATAGTTCAAGAGATCATGGCACGTGGTGGGCGAGTGACCTTTGCTGATGAATTCATGACCGAGACACGAAAGGTAATGCGTGACGAGGGACATACTGCGCTGTCCGCTGCGATCTTGAAATTCGTCAGAACAAGCCTCTCTGATTTCAACGGCACAGAGGAATTCATCAACACCCTGACATGATCGCTACAAAGTGACCAGAGAACTCAAGGGAAACATCCCCCCATACACCGCGCTTATCATGATGTTTCAGGAGCTGCAGTATCTGCCTCGATTCGATACTATCATCAATATCTGGAACGGTGAGCTCTGTTTAGTCAAGGACCCAGCTACAACCATCACCTATAGCGACTTTCTTGCGTACAGCTCTACGATGCAGACTGGGGCCCGATGCCAGGCTACACCAGTTTCTGTCGTACATGGAGGCTGGCACATCCTCAACCCACAGATCTATTCGATGCTTTAGCTGAGAATCCCTGTTTGCACACCCCTAAATCCACTTTTTTGACTATTTGCTCACCTGTTTAAACTATGTACTTCGGGTATAGCGCCATTTGAGTGACATTTTTTGCTTGTGTAATTCATGATGGTCCCTGTAGTATCATTAATAGCATAAGGCTATTATTCCGTAGCTTTGGAATACTCATGCAGTTGAGTATGGTACATATCTAACTGCCACCTTTCTTCTGTTCGCCCACTATTTGCTCATCCCTGCCTCATTCCCCCAGCCCTTTCATCACAGCCCCTCCATCAGCCACTCGTCGTATAAGAGTTCCAAAGCCGTCGCCCGGTCCTCGGGGTTCCACTGCAAGGCCATCCGAATCCACCGCAAGAACCCTTCTTTGTCTTTCCCTTCAACCTTCTCAGCAAGCCTCTCAAAAGTGATGTCTGGAATTGGGACTAGTTCCTTCCAATTGCCTGACTCATCCCAGTAGACCGAACTGAGGTGTCTCTGTTCCCGGAATTCAGGTGGCGGAGGGCCTAGCAAGGCAACCAGTTCCGCCATATGAACTCGGTCATCAAAGACGCCATCTGGATTTTTGCCACTGATAAGGGTGCGAGGGCTAACAATGTCCCAGGCCTAAATATAAAATTTTAGCATTTTCTCGTTAAGCAAAAGGTTAGAATCTTCCACTCACGACCATGGCCACATTCCATATATCCACCTTATAACCCCAGTTCGATCTCAACATCACTTCAGGAGCTCTATAAGCGTTTGGCATGATATCATCACTATGTTCTTCGTCGCCCAATCGAGCTTCCCCAAAATCAGCGAGGATCGGCAGCCCACCTTTTGGAAAGAAACCTAAGCTCTTGTAGATTGTTCGGTCTTTGAGCATTTTTCTGGGTGATGGGTCTGCAACTTCAGCTTCCTCGAATCGGGTAAGAACGCTTGTCTCTGGTCCGGGAAGTAGTAAGTTCTTCAGCTGAATATCTGTAACAGTGTTAGGCCTACGATATGAGGTCGTCAGGCGGATTGATCATTACCAGTATGGATGATATGGCACTCCGAGTGCAAGAAGTCTAATGCGACAAGTAGCTGTCGGATACCGGGCTTCATCTCATCAAGGCTCATTTTGTGCCCGGGGAACATCTTCACTAGAATATCTGTACTCGTTCCGAGAGGCTCGTGAACAAAACAGATATGAGGACCATGAGGACCCTGTATATAGAAATGGTCGATAAGTTTGCGAACGAAGTTTCTGCCAGGATGGTTTGTTTCCACCAGGTTCATGTGCTCGTAGATGTGCAGCTCTCGCTCGCAGGCCCGGTTTTGGCCTGTTACGTAAACCTTTAGAGCAACATATGTTGATGCACTGGTTCAAGGAATGCTATTAGAATCATATCATCTGGTTGGGCTGAAGCGAACCCACCGCACCTACATCAAGTCTTTCGCAAGCCAAACTGTAGAGGTTACTCCGTATCCTATTTTGGCAATTGTTTGATACCGACCATTGAATACTTCGCCCTGGTTGACGGGATAATAATTCTCCGGTTGATAATCCGACAGTGTCTCTTCCTCAAGCTCGATGGACTGGTCAAGCAATTCGAGTCCCGAGGTAGGGAACACTTTCGGGGTGCATGTCCACTGCGGCGGCGACATGATTGTTCGATGCGACACAACTATGGCTCTCGGACTAGACCGTCGGGAAATTCGGTAACAAGAAATGGAGGGTAGAGACGTAGTGAAACCCCGATGGGCGGCAATAGTCCAGGCGTTTCGCACGGCTCGCATCATGAAGTTGAGCGCAGAGAAAGACTGGGGAAGGTTCGACGCGTAGGTAAATGTGGTAACGCAAAGATTCATAGGCATTCAAGTAATCTACCAGGAGGCCATGTTCTGGTGTATTAAGGGGGTTACGACGGTGTAGTTATAGCGCGTAAGGTCGCATGCCTGCATTTGATGCCTGAATGCCTGAATGCCTGGCTTTTGCCTGATCTTAGACCCCCGTTGACAACTAGGATACGAGGACCAGTGGGATTGACGCCGTCAATGACCGCTTTTAAGGTCAGAAACGGCTGGATTAGAGAGGACCAGGCAAAGATCGCGACACGGGGAGCGAAATCAGCCTAGAGGCTTGTTTCAGCCGCTAAACCCCCGAAGGACCAGTGAGACCTACTGCTCTCCTATTACTAGTCCATACTGCATGGCCACCTGCGATACTCGGCAATGATCTGCGACCAGGTCTCTTAAGGCGTGCCTCTCGCTACAAAAGGCAGCCATGATAGCAGTACATTTATTCATCTATCATCGTCCCCTGTGATACCTACTCCCTCCTTCGAAGAAGAATCATGGGGTCCGAGAAGAAACCCGAATGGTATCAGCAGGAGGTCCAGAGCATCAACCCCGAGGCCCAGAGGCTGCTAGAAAGCTACAGCGGCTTCCATCCGGACGAAGTCCTCCCGCACGTCTTGAAGCTCGTACGCGGCAACTTGCTTTTCTCTTGTTTTTTTTGAGTCTCTCAATTAGCTAACAATCATTAATATCTCCCATCCGTAGCGCGACGAAGCCTACTCAATCTTCCACTATCCATGTATCGGCCAGTTACGCTTCCTTACCTTCCAGCTACCCCACCATCCAGTCTACCAGCGCATACTGGCCCGTCTCCGCGACGATCCAACCGCCGGAATCCTCGAGGCCGGCTGCTGCTTCGGTCAGGAGATCCGTTTCCTTGCCGACCAGGGCATCCCGGGCGACCAGCTCTACGGATGTGATATAGAGCAACCGTTTATCGATCTCGGATACCAGCTCTTCCGCGATCGAGACCGTCTCAACGCCACTTTCGCCGTGGGAGACCTGAGCTCGCCCGACTGTCTGGACCCCGCGAGCCCGATTTTCCAGAAATTAGCCGGGAAAATCGACGTCGTCTTTGCGAGCTCGCTCTTCCACCTGTGGGACTATGACCAGCAGGTCCGCGTCGCGACGCATCTGGTCCGTCTCTGTCGCCGTCGACCCAGCTTGATGATCGTCGCGCGCCAGTTAGGGAATACGCTGGGCGGGACCTATGCGATGAAAGACGTCGCGGCAGGAGCTAACTACCGACATAATGTCGAGACGATCAAGGGCTTCTGGTATGATGTGGGCCAGGCAACGGGGACGCGATGGAGCGTCGAGGCGGGGCTATATATCGGCGAGGAACTGGCCAAGGTCAAGAATGCCGGGTGGGCAAATGAGAACGATCGCATGCTTTGGTTCTGCGCAACACTACAATAGACAAACACAATATATAAGTACATGGATGGCAATGACTCAGAACCGGGAAATTGATATTGAACTTTTGAGAAATGAAAATTTTTGAGCAGTATCCTATGCAAAATGGAATGTAGCGTTTTTTCAAAAGGCCTTATACCGGCATTATCTTCAGGTCTGTAGACCCAACCTTCAACCAAGCCTTCACTCAGCCTTCACCTCTGACCGGGGAGAGATGGTCAACCACACGTCTCTCCAGTAGCTAATACCACCTTTGGTCATGAGCTTAGCCTCGGGCTTACCCTTTACAGTCTCCGGCTTGTATTGACGGAAGAACTAGACGATAAATCAGCACTCACCCCAGGATAGCACGTAGCACAGCCGGAAAAAGACTCACCTGCAAAGGACCCTTGAACAACTCCATCATAGCGATATCCCTCCCTAAACAAACACGCGACCCATATCCGAACGAAAAGTTATACTTATTATACAACTTCGCCTTCTCAGCATCCAACCACCTCTCCGGCTTGAACTCCTCGGCATCATCCCCATAAAGCTTCGGATCCCGATGCACCAGGTACGGGTTACAGGTAACCTCCGTGCCCGCCGGCGCAAAGCGACCATAAAGATCGAGCCCCGGCTCAGGGACATAGCGGGGGAAGATATTCGGCGCAGACGGACACAGACGCATAGTCTCCTTCACACAGCCAACATAGAAAGGCAGGTGCTCCAGGACCTCATTGTACTGTGGCATATCGGAGATGAGTCCCTTGCGGGCGGCGTTATCGATTTCCGCCATCATACGCTCGTACGCCTGCGGGTGGGTCATGAGAAACTGCACCATGGCCTGGAAGGCGGTGCCGGTTGTGTCAGCGCCAGCGAGCAGGACTAGCAGGACCTCGGCGCGGATGTACTTCAGATCGAGGGGCTTGCCGTCTTCTGTGAGAGCATCGAGGAAAGTCTGGAGCAGGTCTGTGCGGTCGGTTTTCTTGCCGTTTTCGATCTCCTTGATGCGCTGGTCGATCAGCCGGTCGCGGAAACGCATTAGCACGCCGATGCCGGAGTTGTCTTCTGGTTTGGCTACGAGGTACTTTTTCAAGAAGGTGGTTTTTACCCATGAGGTGAAGGGGTGCAGGCGGGCTAGGAGACCGAAGGCTGGGAGGCCGTCGTGGAAGCCTTGGATTAGGCCGCCGATGTCTTCGCCTTTTTCGATGAAGCCGAAGGGCTCGCCGAAGCCAATTTCGCTGATGATGTCGTAGGCCATGTAGCTGGTTGTTTTGTTAGTCGGAGCATTGTTTCATTTGGCGCGTGCGCTGCTTACACTGCCCACCAGGCGAAGTCGAAGGCTTCGCCGCTCTTCGCGAACTTTTCGTTGAGCTTGGTGGTCCATTCGGTGATGCGCACATCAACCAGTGGCTCCATTTTTTTGATGTTGCTGAAACTGTACTATTTTGAGGGTCATTTTTTGATATCTGCAATTGAACTCGGATATCGTCATACCGGTCCGGCAACGTGCTTTCTGAACACGGCATGGGTCTTATGAGATCTCATGTTGAACAGAGACTCGGTCTCACCGAAACTTCCGGTAATATAGTGTCCGGTCTTGTCTGCATTGCGGTGGTAGACTTCCGGGAGCTTTTCATGATCGCTGACCAGCAACAATGTTGGGGTGATCCGAACAACAGGGCCTAAGATATCCACTTGTTAAAAAGCCATTCCTTGCGGAGATATAATCAAGACCAACCATATTTCTTAGCAAGCGCATAAACAGTTGGTACCTCGGTCTCCTGCAGATTATGCCATGCGATCCAGAGACGAGTTACAGAGCCCCAGAAAGGACCGGGGAATTTCGCGAGCGGACAGAAGAAGCGATAGTAAATAACTTGCCAGGCAAACTTGAGCGTGACATAGGCCACAAGACTCAAAATGACATTGTTCACCGTCACCAGTGACAGGACATTTTCCGCAAGACCCATGGCGGATTTAGGGATGCAGATGCATGGAAGATGAAAACATGTCTTTTTGACAGAGGGAGGAAGTAACCCCTCCGGAAATGAAGGACCGCGGATGAATATTCGCACTAAACAGCATATTCGTTGTAGTAGTAAGGGCCCAAAGGTCATTGGCCAAGGCTATGTCGAGCTAACAACACCTGACGATGCTGGTATTTACCTGGAATCAAGCCTAGACCAAACTAGGGCTAAACGGTTGGAATATCCTCGGCGTGTGAGTTGACAGCTCGTGCATCTGGCCCCCTTGGTGCTAGTCCTTGCGCTAAGGGCATCGGTAAATCGTCGAAGGATTGCGACTCCGCTTGCTAAGGAATCGCGTCTTTGGGCTGATCCACTGTTGCGGTTATTCCTGGAAAACACAGATCCCGTCGTGATGTCACTGCCTAGTAGCCTAGAATAGTAAAGATATTCTGAATATGGAGAAAGACGTTGCCAACTGTCAAGGGGCCGTGCGGGTTCGGTACGCGCCGTTCAGAGGCGCCGTTGCCCACGAACATTTGAAACAACCAGCGCAGGAGATTAGTTGCTCCGCAGGGGATTAGTTGCTCGGCAGTTTCTCACCGGGTGTGAGTCAAAGACTTTCAAGGTTCTCTAGGGTTTGCACTGGGCCAGACCGAAATGACGGAGTACATCGCACTAAGGTGGAGCGGGAGGCTGGCGTTCTCCACTACAGATAGCCAGTGTTTCTCACAGGTCTCATTTCCTCATATGGAGTCGACTAAATAAAGTTGCAGATGATGGCCCTCGTGCGAAATTTTCATTAACCCGGATGCTTACAACAATTGTGGCAGGAAATCGGAATATCTCGGCTGTCACGATAATTCCAATAAATTCTAGAAGTAAGTATCTTTTGTAGGGAATTCCATACAAAAGTCACAAAGGATTCGAACCACAACTACACAAAGTAAAAGATCGTGCCATATAATCTAATATGTTAGTGTTTTTTTCATGAACGGTCCAATCGGAGTATATTCCTTTATTTTTTAGTTAGTTGAGTGTTGGTGAAATCGATATTGTAGCTTTTCTATGGTTGTACCTTTTGTATGGCATCTACATACAACAGGTACCTGAGGGAATTAATATCGTTGATTAGTCAGGGCACCAACGCGGTAGGAGACTCGGAACGAGTTAGACTCCGACTTTTGATTCTCCACTGGTTTCCCAAAAAGGGGAAAAGATAAAATAGGTTTATTGTATGAGACAGACCAAGCCCTAGTGATCAACTATTTGCTAAAGCGGATAATTTCTATGGTTGCACGGAGTATACGGAGTATCGTGCTTCTTAATATACTACTAGTATAATAAATTGAATTGCTAGTCGATCTCTAAGAATATTTACGAAAAGGCTCTTGATATGTATGTACAACATAAGATATGTACGCACAGTAACTATTAAAGTTC